CACCACATTTAGCTAAATTATTGAGAACATGTAACAATATTAAGTTTCATCCTATTTAGTAACTGACAAGAAAAAACTCATCCTTTCAAAAAATACTAAAAAATTTCTTTAAAAATGAATTGCAGAGTGAATTGGTACCGATACAGTGACTGATGCCGTGAGCTCTGTCCTGGAGGACAGGATGAGGATGACCTAGACCTGAACGTAGCCTTAAGTGAAATTACAGAAATTACAGCCACTTGAGTAAGTGCTGATGGCACCTGCTCAGGCCCAGGGAATATTAACACCTCCAAGGCTGGGCAGAACAGGGAATGATCCAGGGGCAGGGAGGCCAAAACCTCCCCATGATGTAATTAATGGCTAAAAAGGACTGGGAGAGGAAGAGAGAAAAAGAACATTTCGATCTGAGCTCAGTGAGCAGATACATGTTTGATGTGTCAGACTGCTCTCTGGAAAAAACCCTGCAGATGCAAGAAGAGATTTCTGCCAGGCTGAAATGGAGCAGCTGACTGTTTTCTGGGCTAAAACGTGTTGAGCTGTACACTCCACTCATCTGGCAGGCAAGGCTGGAATCTGCTATGCCAGTGGTCTATATGGAAATTAGAAATTAGCCAGGAACTCCACACTTGAAAGTCACTTATCCCAGGAAAACACCTAACATATTTAACTAGCATAATCAAATTGCTTCAAATCTGATGATGCCTAGAAAGTTTTCAAGAAGATCTTGAACTTTAAGCTTTGAAAGGTTCACTTCAACCATTTCTTCAGAAATTTTGTACTCACTGCCCAAAATCAAGTTCAGAGATTAATTAGGAAAGCACTATATTGCTTTACTAACAGCCTAATGAGAGCACAGTATCATTTTCATTATGGCACAGTATTACTGTCAAGAGATGTCCACCCCACCTTCAAGATCCAATCATAGCATACCAAGAGGAAATTCCTCAGTAATTTAAGCTACAGAGCTCCACTTGGGTTTTCAGGTTTCTGAGTGCTGGCACTGTGTGCACATGCTGTGGTGCCTCATAACAAAAGCTAACCACAACAGACTACTTCAGCTGGAAGGGACCTCCAGCAACCACCCAGCCCAAACCTCCTGGCCAACTCAGGGCTGGCAAAAGTTAAAGCATGTGGTTGAGAGCATTGTCCATTGCCTCTAAAACACCTGGCAGCCTCGGGCATTGTGGCTGATATTTAATTAATTTAGAAGGTTCATTTGATGAAAGGTATTTGCTTATCTATCAATTTCATTAAGCTTTGCCTGGATCATGGTAAAAACATTACTGAATGTAAAATTGAATATTTGTTTAGTTTAAAAGTAGAGTTCTTTCCACTGGAAGGATAGGTTTTTCCAGTATGACAAAAGAAATACAATATCACAAGAAACAAACTGTATATACTTGCATCTGCAATTCCTGGATTAGGAATATACATTAAATTATCTAAACTTGGGTGTGGAAAAAAAAAGAACTAATAAGTTTACCTGCTTTCTACAGTTGTTCATTAAAGCACTCAAAGACATCTTACACATTATCTGGACATCTAGTTTGTCAGCAGCAATTAGAGACTGATGGATACCTGCTGCAACACATTCAATAGTACACAAACCCACAGAATGGATATTCTGAAAATTCTGGAAAAACTCTAGAAGATGCTGGAGTGATAGAACAAGAAAATATGCATACTTCCTTTCAGAAGCCAGCTTGAAGTATCCATTCAAATATAATGAAATTCCAGTAAATGTTACCTTTCTAGGACTAAACAGCATATTAATTATTTTTTACAATAGCCAAGCTTTAGTCACTTCAAGAAAAAATTTTCTACTCCAACCCAAGAGTTTGTTTGTTTTTTTATCCTGCTTACAGGCCAGACACTCATCAACCTCTCAGATCTCTGGAGAGTTGTGGTTTAAGGGAACTCAGGAGGAAAAGACAAATTTGGAAAGCCATTTATCCATCTCACTAGAATTGAGACATTATGGTTTGCATTCTTCCCCCACTCCCCAAAATACCAAATTTCTATCATCAGAGCTCTGTGAATAAACGAACATTTTGTTACTGGACTCAGGAAGAAATAAACCACAGGTCTGTTAGGGACAGGAGGAGAGGAGAGGAGAGGAGAGGAGAGGAGAGGAGAGGGCACTGTGTGCTTGGGAGCATGTTTATTTGACTGGATTTCAGACAGTCAACCAAAGAACATGCAGATCATATATTTTTAAACCTTTCATAATGTCTTATTATTAATTCCAGCCAAAACCACCAAGACCAAAATTATCTGAAATTGGTGCTTGTGTGTCCTGACCCCAAAGCCAACAATGGTTGCATTAAAAAAATGTTAAATATCTACAGTCCTCTCAGGTTTAATTTTTTTAATCGATTACAAGGCAGAGCCCTTTAAGAGTCTAGAGAGAAGACAGGTCTCCACAACTAAGAAACTGAAATGTGGTCCTGGGTAAATTTTACTTCCAGGAAACCAAAATGTTGCAGTCCTTGAGAGAGGGAGGCTATAAGCAGAGGGCTCTTCTAAAGGAAGGAGCTTTTATTGAACCTGTCACTTGTCATTAAACACTCCATATTTTACCTTAGCCTGATATTTTCATTAGAGCATACAGACCTTTTTCATCTGTGAATGAAAGCATTCCCTTCAGCCTTGTGCTGAATATGGGGAAAGGCTCTCTAAAATCGAGCCCACCCAAACAGGACAATTATGTTCACAAAAGCAAGAAAAGCACTAGGGAAAATCAAGTAACATTAATGCCATGGTAACCTGCACATTTCAATGTTGACTATCACATCACACTTCAATGTTAAATTATTTAATACATTTAATAATGTCTATTTTTAATGTCAGAAAAACTTGCATATCATTATACAGAAAGCACAAGATACCAGTGCAGAATAAAACACTACACAAGCAAAGTGCAGAAGAGTATGTACTGCTCTACAGGGATCTCTAGTTGGAAAACCTGAATAGGAAAAGGTAAAGATATCCATGCTATTTGTATTTTGATATCTATGATCTCTCAACTGCTTAAAACATTTTATAAGTAAAGAATTGGGTAAGAAATTGAAGGGGCAGCTATACATTCTTAAAGAACTCTGATATAAAGCAGCACCATTTTCTTCTGAGCAAAAGCTGCCTCATTGCTACCACCAAAGCTGTACCATCTCCTTGATGTACCAGAAACTGGTGTTAAATAGTTCTAACAGGACTTTAAATTCTCAGTAACTGAAATATCTGAAATATCACTCTCTGTCCACTGCTATGTAGTACAAACATTTTGCATGATTGACTGTTTCTTAAAAAAAAATTTAAAAGTGGTTTCAGTATGCAAATAGAAGCTGAGAGAAAACAAATTTCAGGCTTTTTTCAGAGTATTACATATGTGAAGAAGAAAGCAAAATGAAAAGGAAAAGAATAATTGGGGAGGGAGAGCCAGAAAAGGAAGCCATCCCTTTTAAAATTTGGAAGTGCTACATAAAAACAAAGATGATGGTCTGATGGAATAGTATCATTCAATAAATACATCATCCATGTAATTGCAAGGTAAATGTCAAGCACCAGGTGTCTTTTCAGACTTGAAATATAGATTTACTCAAATGCAGATTAGAGATCTAACCAAATATTGTAGTAGTTTTAGGAATTTTTAAAGACATTTCACTAATACCAGGAAGATTGTGTTATTTAAACATACCTGCCACATAATGAGAGCCTTGTGAATTGTCAAAGCATTACAGGCACAAAACCCATTAGCAGATGTAGAAATCCCACATTCCCGCCTTTTATAAAAGTCTGCAGTTATGAAATCATTCTCTGACACTTGGAACTTAACTATTTCAGTGTCCTGCACATACAAGACTGGAGCTGATGGAGAAAACCACAAAATGGTGCATCTGAGAGCATTCCCCATGGACATATACTTCTGTGGTTCTTTCGAAGTTTTAGCTGAAAACATCCCCCCAGCATCCCACAGAACAAAGTAAAGGGGTATCTGTCTGGAGAGAATTTATCTTTATTAGAGAACCCTTAGGATGTATTCTGTGTCTTCATTGTAGATGTATTAAGATATGTGGCTGATAAAAAGAAACAGAATTTAACTTAGGACAACAAAGGAAAACACCAAAGAAAGGATTGCTCTTTAAAGATTAACAAAATGAAAGACTACAGGGTAGGGTACAGTTTCCATGTTTATTTTCACTCACAAAACGAAAAGTTATTTTTGTAAATTAAAGAAAACACAGTCAAAATGTCTATTATTTCCACACTTAGCATCATGATATCTTTGGGGTACTCTATGCCAGTAGTTTAATATTTTTATGACAGCAATTGAAAACTTACCATTTGATAAACCTCCTGCAGCTAATCTCAACACACAGCACACTCAAAAATATTCGACTTGCTTTTATACCAGTGACTTTCTTGTGCCTGGGCAGATATGAGGTGACCAGATAACTCTGTGGGGCAGCAGCATGATCATTTCAGAAATAAAGCCAACTGACCAGGAAGCACACCAAGAATTCATGAGGGAGAGTAAACAAGGATGACTACACATAGCAAAGATGGTCCTCCAGTTACTCCACGACAATTCCAGCTTTCCCTAAGAATACTTACTTGGTTATCTTTCACTTACTGAAGAAAAGACCCCAGTGTAAGGTAGAAGCAGCTGGGAAAATACACAAAACAGCTAAAGAAAAAGGCTGTTAGAAGAGCAGAGAAGAAAGAAACATCACACCAATCTCAATGCGGAATTGATATAATTATTTCAACGATGCACTTCATAACCAAGTAGACAGTTAAAAATACATTTTCCTGTTATGAAAATTGACTAAGATACAAAGGCAATTGAGAGAGGCTGCTTTCTTTGAAATGGTGTAGGATAGATGTGTCCTTGTAAACAATCAGTACCAAAGTTGTTAGGTAACAGCTATGAAAACAGATCAGGAGGTAGAGCAGAGAGCTGGCTCATTATCCCAATTGCATTAATTCAATCCCCATGTTACCTGAAGCTGTTGGGAGCTGTCATTAAGGTTATCCTCTCGTCTCCTGGCCTCCTCCAGCATCTGTGCACTCTTCTTCTTCTCCACTTGTTCTTTGTGCTTCAGATTTGCTACTTTCTTGTTTTGATCTTTGACTTGCCTGCAAAAGAGAGGAGCACTCAGAGCGTGGCCCAGAGCTGCTTCTGTCAGCCCCAGCGCTGGGCAGCTGGGCCAGGGAACAGTGGGACCATCAAGTGCCACCACCTCCTTGGTGGCACAAGGTCACCAGCACCAAACTCATCCTCAAGCATTACCCTCAACTGTTAATTCAGCCAAAAGAAGGCTTCATCTTGCTCATTACTATTAACCTAAACCAGAATATTTCTGAAACAAAGGCATTATTAATTATTTGGTATAAACTATTAATCAAAAGATGCACCTGTCCTCTTCTGACTTTGGGGAAGAAAACTCTTCTCTGTTCACACACACACACACACGTACATATAAAACCACAAACATCTAATAACCTGTTTTCCTTTGGGTGCCACTGTATCTAATGTGAGGAAAACAGGAGGAGTGAAAGGAAAAACTATTGAAACATGACTTGAATATAGAGGATTACTTACGAGAACTAGGAAATCTATTTCCAGAAGTAAAACAATTTCTTTTCAACCTCAAGATCTACCTGTTTTCTTGATATTTTGAGGGATTTCCTATCCTTTCTTTTTACATAAACAAGACACAACAAGTAAGAACAAACTATTTGAACATAATTTCCTTTTCTCTTGCACCTATGGACTATTTTTGATGATCCTGGCAGCTACCATTGCCTGCAGACAGGGTTTGGCCTTTCAGGGCATTAAGACACATGGAGTATTGAATCTAATTACAGACTCTTTAATCTCAGTCTCCTGACCACAGAGAACTTAAGTCTAAACTTTTAGTCCAATCAAAACAAAACAGGCTAGCTTTGCTTCCTCAGCCCTTTTCTCCATAATTATATCTGCAGTTTGGATTTTGGAATAAAAGACAGATTCTCTGGTTGCAAGATCTCCCCAAAACATCTTGCACGTAGTAGAGACGGCTCTTTAATTTACTGTTTAGAAAACAGAATGATATATCAGCTTCAGATCTGGTATGTTATCCACACAGACAGGGAAGAATGTTTCTTCTGTATTTCACAAATACTTTTAGAACAGATCACGAACAACCCTTCTTTAATATTTTCTTCAGAACTCCTAACAAAAGCATGATCAAGAACGTATCTCTTTGTGATATATTTATGTTCAAATTATGTGGCATATGACCAGCCAGTGTTTTGAGTTCCTCCAAAAACATGTAGGTTCAACTCTGAGCTCTGCTTTTTCCCAATGTAAGCCAACTGAAGCTGAGAAAATTGTGAAGACAGCAAATTTTCCTTGGTGCTAAAACAAACTATTAGGGTGAAAAAGTGCTGATGGCCTCTGGAGACCAATAAAAAAAGGCAAGTCCTTTTCTGATGATGTTAAAAAATTACTGGCATACTTAACTACCCTGTCCAAGAGTTACAGCTGATTTGAGTCAGGATGCTTTTTAAACACAAGCAGTCTAATTGTTGAGTTATTCTAACCCAGTGCTGCACATTGGCAATGGGCACATTGCCCAGTTTGAAAGCAGACTTGCTCAGTGATTAAACAACTTATTGGAAATATTATGTTGGCACCAACTCAGCTTGTACAATACATGGTTCTATCTGTCCAATAAAATAAACACAGAAAGTACAGCTAAGTTGATGCAGAAAATGAAAATATGTCAGCTCAACAAATTCAATTCCATATGAGAATTTTTACTCAACTTCTAAATTAAAATTAGAGGAATTAAGCATTTTTTTATAAATTTGCAGAGCTAGATTCACATGTTGGGAAATTGATCTTTATTACTATAACCAACTAGTTAGATAAGAGACAACAATATTAATAAAGCCCCAACCCTCACCAAAATATGTCTGAAACAGATAATGTCCAATGTGGTCAAAAATGTTTTCAAACAAATATTTCAAAGTATGGAGTAACTATTCAAGTATTTCAAAGGATGGAGCAACTATTAGGATATGTACTATTGGCATCCCCCTTCTCATGTCTGAACCAAATTAATGATATTTTAATATATCAGGTTGATGTTTTGAGACAAAGACAAGCTTTATAAAAGTTAAGTCTGGAAATTACCTAGTGCTTGTAATACTGAGATCAATCAGCATAAAACCTTTTACTAGACCAGGCTCCATTTAACCTGGCTTTGAATCATGTGCAAGACACAACTATCTCTCCATATCTTTGACATCAAAAAGGAACAAAAGTTGGGCTATAAACTTTTCAGATTATACAGGTATCTGTGGCATTAACTAAAATTTCCCCAACTGTTTAATTATATAAATCTACGGTCACATGAAAACTCAAATCTATGAACCCAAAAAGGCTTGGAGTCATTTGATATATGAAAATACATTTCATCTCATCTCAATGCCCATGGTACCAAATGAAAATTCTCACTTTTTATCTCATGCAGATAATCATGCAAAAGGTTCAGCATATACAAGCCCACAGCCCTTTGACATTTGCACCATGAAAGCTCTGTGAAGCTCTGAAGACTTCATACTATGGTTTTGTAAAGAATGCTCTTCCTTCTCTGCCAGGTAACTTTCAGTCTTCAAAGCCAGTCAGACAATCATCTTTTTATATATGCAAACTATCTTTAAAAATATTTAAGTATGTACTCATATTTTTAATATCCAGAGACCTCAAAAGCTTGCTTATTAGGTATCACCCCATTCACTGCTCAGTAAGACAGCTCTGTTGCTATTTTAAACACTGCAGTACTACTTATGATTGTTATAGAACAATTTCATTTTCACACCACCACTGAACAATGTGCAGAATTGGACCACATACTGAACTGGAACAATAAAATAAAATACAGAAAGTACGTGACTTAAGTGAGCATGCTGCAACTGGTACATTTTATGAGGAGACAGGCAAGAGGAAATTTTTTCATAATATATGTGCACATGGAAGCTTATTAGGAAGAAACAGAAAGAAAGAAACAAAGCTCTGCAAGTCTCTCAGTTTGAGAGCTTCATTTTGTAAGCTTAATGTTCTTTTAATTCTTTTGAATATAATAGCACATATCCCAATCAAAGGGACAGTAAATTTTTAAAAATTTCATAATCTCTAGGAGTATTTTTATTAAAACTGAAAAAAACCAGCACAAGCTTAAAGACAGTAAATAGAGAATGACTTATGTATAATGATGGCAAGAGCTTAGAGGTTTATGAATGTCTTCTAGAAAGCACTACTGTTTGTATGTACAGCAACAGCAAACAGCAATTTGAAACGTGCATGTGGACTTCTCATCATAAAATAAAGAGATAATGAACTTCTGAGAGATACAGTGCATTAAATATTACCATAAATACACATTCCTACTGAAACAACTTTGGAAAACAGGACTACAAAAGAGAGAAAGACTTCTGGTGATTCTCATTAAAGGTGGAGAGCCAGGTCACGTTCAGTGCGATAAAGCTTTGAAGAAGATACCAACTGGGACCAGCAGAAACAACAACAAAACTGACAAAAGCAAAAGTACCTCATCTCAGAAGATGCTTATTCTCAGAGTCACCTCAAATCAAATAATAAAAACATTACAGACATATATAAAAGGAGAAAAATCTAATGAGAATGTTTATGTTGAATTACAGTAAAGAATCCCACTCATTTTGAAAATAACAATTTCTTTTGCATTTTTAATAGAAATTTTAAGATAATTATCCTTTTTTGAGAGTCCAGCTCATAAAACATTTTGCCCTCAAAAGTGAAAACTCTTTTCCATTATTTTGAATTTTTCTCCATTTCACAGTATGTCAGACCAAGTAGTGTTACAGTCGAATGTATTAGGTAAAGAAAGTAGAATCAAATTCAGGCTTCTGATTTAAAAATATAAACCCCAAAGTCTTTCAACTAAAGTCAGGCCAAGATTTTCAGAATAAATAATTTCACATCCTTTGATTTTCGGTGCCCAATGTAGGCCATGTGCCTGATGAAAAAATCCCCTAAAATTTCCTAATCTGGACACTAATCTGAAACCTAATGTTAATCCTAATCTGAAACCAAATGTTCATATCTATGGCTTTACTCTTTCTTTAGTGAAACAAAGCTGCATCACTTAAAAAAAGCCACACCTTTCCACTTCTCTATGAAATTCTTGAATTTCCAGTGGTGAAATACAGCCCAACACCATGGGGAATAATATCAACCAATCATAATAAAAAATTTCAAATGAGAAGATTTAATATTTTAAAATTATTTCAAAACAGGAAGACAAATACAAACAGTAGAGGACCAGTGGAGCATCAGATATTCCTGAAAAGCAGCAAGTCACTTTGTGACCCATCAGAGTCCTTGGGAAGACCCTTCCTCACTAAGAAGACCAATTACTACATATGCCCTTTTATTTATTAAGGCTTTTATGAAATTATTTTTGTCTGTACTAATGTCAATATTTTTTGCAGTTTATCTGTCTTTATCTGTCAAATCTCCTTGTCTTTTACTATAATGCACATCAGCATACATACAGCTGCTAAATCTCTCTTCACATGGATTTTCATACTATGCATTAATGTAATGTAAGCTATTATCTGCAACTGGTTATATTTTCTGACAATTTCAGATGTTATTCTTAATATTAACTGAAAATATGAATAAGTTAATTTGAATTTTTCTATTGTATTTTAACATACTTTTCCTTCACATTTACGAGGCTAACGCAGAACAGTGTTTTTTAGAATGCTTCTGAGCCATTACAAAAGCTTCCCTGCAATGTGAAGTGTTACACTGTACACACACAGGCTGTATCTCACACAGTGAACCACACACCTGGAAGAAACACGCAGCTCTTGTGCACTGCTATAGAGACAGCTTGTTTTACTCTTTGACTTCGGCACTCAAAACATTTCTGTGTGTCTGTCAGCCATGTCAGGATTGCTGAGCTCGACTTTTCATTGCTGTAGCATTACCACCACCCACAGGACACTCCACTGGTGCTGCAGGTACTAATCCTGATGGATAGATGAACTCCAAAAGCTTTACTGAACACTTTGCTCCTCAACATGACTTAAATTGATAAAGT